AGTTAAAACACATGAAGAATACAGTATAAAGCACACACAGAAGAAAATGTCCATACATGTTGTAGAATGCTAAAGTGTCCTGATCATCACCAATCCTTTCTGTTGGACACTAACTGTCCAACAAGACCCTCCTGCATCGACAAGGAAAAACTCTTAAAAAACCCAGTGGGAAAAAGTGAGAAACCTTGGAGGAGAACTAGGGAAACCCACAGGGAGGGAGACCCATATGAGAAAGGGATCCGCTCCTCCGGACGGACAGACTAATGATCTAGGACCTAAGCTAGCTACAGAACGTAACCCCTGTGGAAAAGCGGCAATAGATTTATATATATGTGTTCTGTTTTCTTATCGTGATACAGATGGTCGCTGTGGCTAACGCTAAAGCTAACATGAGCTTTTAGCCAAGTCCTCAGTATATCTCCTGCTTCTTTGATCATGGTAGTTTTAAGCTTCCAAAGACGTTAATCCTCCACGCGACTACCACTCTCCCTGACTCAGGTTGCCAGATACGCGGTTGGAACCATAATAAAGGTGAATAACTAAACAATGCATGTTCATTTTCCACTTGCAGATGCCATTTAAGTCACCAAATTCACCGACACTAGACAACACTCCACCTCCTCATTAGCCAAGAAATATTGATGCATAATTTATACTGCAGCAAGTTAGCGCCTATCCACTACAGTCTATGCTATCCTCTAAAAGCTGTCAAAGCAAGGAGGCGCGTCAAAACCACAGACTGTGACGCTCTGATCTAACGTGAAGCAGGGAAACTCCCTGGGCGGCACGGTGGCTGAGTGGATAGCACTCTCGCCTCTCAGCAAGAAGGTTCTGGGTTCGAATCCCGGCCGGACCAGGGCCTTTCTGAGTGGAGTTTGCATGTTCTCCCCGTGTCTGCGTAGGTTTCCTCCGGGTACTCCGGTTTCACCTACCACTAAAAATATGTACAATAGTTCTGGCATGCGCCTCCTGTACTGGCCCCGCTCCCATCTCTGTGTGGAGTGAGAGACAAGTGCCCAAAAATAAAAAACAAAAACAAAAACAAAACAAAATAAATAACTATTGTAAACCGCTTTGTGACTCTGGTCTGTGAAAGGCGGTATATAAATAAAGCTTACTTACTTACTTACTTACTTTAAGTCAATGAAACGCTTTGACACACTTACACAGCTGATATACAAAGCGAAGTGCGAGCATGGATCTATTGAGTCCGAGACGCTGTCACGTTTGACCAGCTTGTTTTGATACATGCTCCAACACAGTGTTTCGTTTTTTGTTTTTTTTTTATTAAAAATTGGTGAATCCAGTCATGAAAAGGGTATGTATGTAGGCCAATTATAAGAGTGGCAACTTGGGTGCCTCAGAACAATTCTCAATAATGATTTATAAAGGAAGATCATAAATCAATATCAAACTTTTTCTTACCTAGGTACAATGTTGTAAGCATAGAGACCCTCATTTATGAAACTTCTGTATGGCCAAATCAGGGTGAAAATGAGGCGTACGCAAAAAATGTACACTTTTCGGCATTTATCAATCTGGAAGTGGACGTATGTTACCCACAAAATATACACCGAGTCTGGAGGTGGTGTACACCCATCTCAACCTTCATCACAACACGCAAAAAACACGCATGAATTATAAGGTTTGGACGACAATAAACATATTCCCAATCTGGCAAAATTCTCCTTAAATCTGTGGCAGGCCCTGCGCTGCGTAATCACGCATGGCTATTTGTTTTGCCTCATTCACATCTGGCAAAGCAATGTTTCATTAGTTTTATGCATAAAGCCTCACAAACCACATTAAAGTGATAGTCTGTAACTCTAAATGAATTACTAATTTTAGGAAATGTGTTACATTGACCTCCTGGCCTTAAATGTTGATATAAAATAAGTCATTTTATTAATTCTAATATCACAGGTAAGTCCCGCCTTCCCTTCTCTTAGCTATAGCTCAGAATCCACGATGCCGTCCACGTTAACTAATCAGGTGATGCCAAGAGCTGTCAATCATCAGCGCTGATGCTCGTAGCTGCTCATGCTCAGTTGTTTGTTTTCACGGAACCTCCGAATCAAGCCTCCGTTTATATATGAACCTATATCCATAATCATTTATATATGAACCTATATCCATAATCATTTATATATGAACCTATATCCATAATCTTTTATATATGAACCTATATCCATAATCATTTATATATGAACCTATATCCATAATCATTTATATATGAACCTATATCCATAATCTTTTATATATGAACCTATATCCATAATCATTTATATATTAATCTATATCCATAATCATTTATATACTGAACCTATATCCATAATCATTTATATACTGAACCTATATCCATAATCATTTATATACTGAACCTATATCCATAATCATTTATATATGAACCTATATCCATAATCATTTATATATGAACCTATATCCATAATCATTTATATACTGAACCTATATCCATAATCATTTATATACTGAACCTATATCCATAATCATTTATATATGAACATATATCCATAATCATTTATATACTGAACCTATATCCATAATCATTTATATACTGAACCTATATCCATAATCATTTATATATGAACCTATATCCATAATCATTTATATATGAACCTATATCCATAATCAGATCCTCTGCAGATGTTTCTATAATGTGCAGTTCATGATAATAGCACTTCCTGGTTTGCCGCGATCGCTTTTTTTGTGCATAAAAACATTGTTTTTTTCATTAAAACGTTAACAAATAATTCTGAAAACCTCCGTGCATGTGTATTAATAATGTATATGTATAATGTGTTCTCTCATTAACATTTAAATGTGTTACGGAAACATAGGCGTAGACCAATCAGAAAGGAAGGGGGAGGAGCTTGGGTCGTTTTTTTCAAATCAAGCACCTCTCTCTCTTTCTGACAAACTGCAGACATCACTTTAACACATTGATGGACTATGGTCTTGCTCACTCCAAATTTCTACCCTGCACTCCGGATGTACTCATCAGGATTGCGTGTCACAGCACTTTTGAAAGTTCCAAACAGTCTTCCTGGCTGTCTTCCTTTCAGCTATATCGCAAAAACGGGGCGGGAAACAGGCAGTTACTGCATATTTATAGGCAGGACTTTCATAAATACGTTTGTTTTCAGCCGCCGTATTTATCAACAGCTGGAGGTGCATACGCTCGGATCTGGGCGGATCTCACACGTTCATGCATTCCACGCTGGATCCATCGAATTTGGTATATACACCTAAAATATACACCCTTTTCTGTGCAAGTTTCGTAAATGAGGGCCAGAGGTTCTTATGTTATGACAAAGGCAGCTGGCTTTGTCTCTAAACAAGATCTACACATTCTAAGTAAGTAGTAAGTAGTAAGTAAGTAATCTTTATTTATATACTGCCTTTTCACTGCACATCGGAGTCTCAAAGCGGTTTACAATTCGGGCGTTCTGCTCTCCCAAAATTCCATCCGATGGGCGGGGGAGCGACTGAATTTTGCGTTGCATTATGGGTAACACTTGCCTTCGCAACTTCCGGTTCTCTCTGCCCGGCGCATTTTCTCTAAATGGTTGAGTGTTTTCGTCATTTTCTGTATGCAAATACATTCCCGTCTCTAACTAGTGGCATATCGCGCAAATCATCCGTCCAATTCACATTCTTCCCTCTTAGCTGAACTTCATTCTCATTGTTACCATCTGTCACTCGCACACACAGCCGTTTTCGTTCACTCTGCTCGCTGTCATCTTCTTCTAAATCTTCATAAACACCATCCGCTCGTTGAACTAGCAACAACAATTCCTCCTTTCGTTTTCCCACACTGCAAATACCCTTTCGCTTCAACCTTTCACGCAATTCAGGCACTGTCAATCGTTTGTTGTTTTCGTGAGCCATATTCGCCATTGTATGAAATCAACGGGAAGTGAACTGGGCAACAAACGGTGTCATTTTTTGATCACAGCGCCGCTCAGTGGATGAAATTTTGGGAGAGCAGAACGCCCGAATTGTTATTGTAAACCGTATTAGGTAAGTAATGTGATAAGATTTATAGAAGACAAAACATAAATTCAATATAAGCAGAATAGTTTAGGTGCCTGTGATCTTCATACGCTGGTGTGACTGCATTCACACCAGCGTCAGACACTTCCTCACAAATGTGTCACCTCCTCAAATCTTCTCCCTGCGTCTGCTGATGGGGCCATGCTCTCTTGGCACCCACTCTCATGTGATTCTTTTTATGCATAAACACACCACCGCTGCCACATCTAATAGATCCAATGCTTACAACATAGATTTTGTTTATTATTTCCATTATCAACCCAACAGATAGTTGTAATAGAGTGACCAGATTTTCAAAATGAAAAAGTGGGACATTTTAATATTACTAAAAATCTTTATTTGCGACAAAACTTAGCAAAAATGTATTGCAGTCAAATGAGGTGATACAGCTTAAAAACATTTACTTGTGCCTCCAGAAGAAACTTGTTGGCAATTAAATTACTTATTGAAAACAATACTACTTGGCTTAAATAAACTGTGGCTGCCAAAAAACTGAAACAAAGGGACTTCCTGCTTAGCGGACCATGTAACAACACGTGTGACGCGCAGCTCCTGCAGTTTTGTTATTATCCATTACTTTTGGCACGTTTTTCTAAATTTTTATAGTGGGACCTAGTACTCTAATCTACAATCGTCTGCTCGCTAACTTTGTGTACGATTTCCCCTCCCCTCTGCTAACACCGCGGCCTGGTGCTACCTCCGCATCCCCGCCCCCGAGTGGACCATCAGGGCCGTGGCCTGCACTTGGCGAGCCACAAGCCGAATCTGACGCTAACACCATCAAGACGGATATACTTTCTGCTCTTCGTGAGGAAATCAAGACTATGTTTAAGTCCGAACTACATGCTGCTCTTGGGGAAAACCTTACGTCGATTAAGTCGGAATTGCTTCCTTTCAAGGCAGAAATTTCGTCTAACATTACTACGATGAAGCAAGAGTTTGCGGGGCTAAGGGGCACTATTGTGGACATGGAACAGTCGCTTTCCGCGTGCACAGATGACATCACCATTCTTCGCTCCCAGGTGGAAAACATGGCTAAAGAAATGGTCAAGTTGGAGAACAAATGCGAGGACTTGGAATCACGATCGCGTAGGAACAATATTCGCATTATAGGGGTCTCCGAGGACCATACCCCATCTTGTGAATATGTAGCTAGCCTTTTGACGGAGGCTTTTACGCTAGCCAAGCAGCCACTTGTGGATCGCGCACATCGCTCACTGGCCCCCAAACCTGGACCGGGAGAACGTCCCCGGGTTATTGTTGCGAGGCTTCATTATTACTCAGACTGTGCCAATATCCTCCGGAGAGCCAAGGCGTTACAGAAGATGAGGGTAAGAGATATGTCCATCTCAATCTTCCCCGACTACATCGCGAAGACCGCCCGTGCCCGCGCTGCATTTAATGATGTTCGTTGCCAGTTACGGGACATTGAGGGAGTCCGGTTCGGCATTCTGCATCCAGGCAAGCTGCGCATTACGTACAGAGGGGTGCAGCGGGATTTCACCTCGCCAGAGGAAGCCAAGATCTACATAAAGACAATCGAATCACTACCTCCAGAAAAGTAATGCCTCTTTGTTTGCAAACTAAGATGCTGGACTTTGGTGAGTTATGACTGATGTTATTTGGCTACTATATCTCCACAATTTATATTTATATTGAGATATTGTTATTTTTGAACTACTGAATCAAACTTGAGGAATAACACTGGTATTTTTTGTTTTTCTTCCTTATTTTTTGAGGCCAGGTCAAGGATGTAATCCATATGTGCCATCTATGTTTACGTATTGTTCTGCAGGAGCGACTGTGTTCAGCTGGTTATTGTTTGCTATACAGTTGGAAGCTGTCCTTTTTTCTTTATTCTTTGACTCCGTTTAGGAGTCTCTATCGTTTGGGGATGGGACGTTTGCTGTGCGGGTGGGACCAGGGAGGGTACGGGTTGAACAGGGTTATTATTATTATTTATCTGTATTTGTATTTTTATTTCACTTTTTATTTTTATTTTTATTTATTCCCCCCCCCCTGCCTTTTTATATATTTACATACCTTTGGGGACAATGTGGAAAACTTAAAGTCTAAAGATGACTAACTTTTCAAATCAAATCATGATATTAGGTTTTTGACTTGGAATGTGAAAGGTATAAATAACCCCATTAAACATTCAAAAGTGATTACACATTTAAAACGCCTTAAAAGTGATGTAATGTTTCTTCAGGAAACTCATTTGCGTGACAGGGATCATGTGAGGCTCAGATGTCCATGGGTGGAACATGTATTTCATTCTACTTTTAATTCAAAGGCTAGAGGTGTGGCCATTTTGATTAGCAAAAAAGTACAATTTGAAATGTCAAATTTAATAGCAGATAAGAATGGGAGGTACTTGATTGTTGTTGGTAATATACATGGCTACCCTGTAATATTAGTTAATGTGTATGCTCCCAACTTTGACAACCCCAGATTTACCGATTCATTATTAAGTGGACTTCCTTCCCTTGATACTCACCTTTTAATATTTGCTGGAGACCTAAACTGTGTCATTGATCCTTTATTGGATCGCTCAACTCCTAAGACCATGATTCCATCATCTATGTCTAAATCTGTCTCAGAATTCATGTTGCGAAATAGATGTGCAGACCCTTGGAGGTTTTATAACCCTGATACAAGAGCATACTCCTTTTACTCTCGAGTACATCAGTCATATTCACGTATAGATTATTTTTTTGTTGACAGTTCTCTTATATCTAAAGTAACTTCCTCTGAATATCATCCAATTGTCATCTCTGACCATGCACTGCTTAGTGTTGACATTGAACTACTCGATCAACCTCGGTTTTCCTCTCCCTGGAGGTTCAAATCTTCATTTTTAGCAGATGAAAATTTTAAGGCCTTGATACAATCAAAAATTGATGAATACATTGTGTTGAACAAGTGTGACACAGTCTCAAGTTCATTATTATGGGAATCTATGAAAGCTTATCTGAGTGGGCAAATCATCTCCTTCTCTGTTCATTCAAATCGAGCTCGAAGAGCCAAGCTTCAAGAGTTAATGGACAGGATAACAGAGTTAGACAGGCAGATTATACATAATTCAACCCAAAGCCTTCATAAACAACGTCTTGATTTGCAGACAGAATTTGACTTACTCTCCACAACTGATGCCGAACGCCTTTTGTTTCGTACACGTGCAACCTATTATGAACATGGTGATAAACCTAGTAGACTCCTGGCCCACCAATTGAAACGCCAAGCAGCCTCGCGTTCAATATCCCACATTAAGGACGATTTAGGCGCCCTGGTTTCCAATACAAAATCAATAAATGAAGTTTTCAAAGAATATTATTCATCTTTATATCAATCGGAATCAACCGCCAATGCCTCTGATTTGTCGTCTTTTCTTAATAATATTACCACACCCACCGTTGATCCAGCTCTGGCTGAACATTTGGATGCCCCCCTTCGTTTGGAGGAGATCCTACAAGCCATTAGAACTATGCATAATTGCAAGGCACCCGGTCCGGACGGGTTCTCGGCAGAATTCTTTTTGCGGATAAATTAGCTCCATTGTTGCTTTCTGTATATAATGAATCATTAGACCAGGGCAAGTTACCCCCTACACTCTCTCAAGCTATTATTATTGTCCTTTTAAAGAAGGATAAAGATCCTACATCCTGTTCCTCATATAGACCTATATCACTTCTTAATGTTGATGTCAAGATCCTTGCTAAAGTTTTAGCGGGTCGATTAGAAACGGTTCTTCCTTCAGTCATTAGTGAGGAACAGAACGGTTTCATTAAAGGTTGCCAATTGTTTTACAATGTACGTACACTGCTAAACGTTGTAACTTCAAATCACTCCACCACCAGTCCAGAAGTAGTAATTTCACTAGACGCAGAGAAAGCGGTTGACCGCGTAGAATGGGCATATCTTCTTGCTGTTCTACATAAATTTGGATTTGGAAGGCGCTTTATTTCATGGATCCGATTATTATACAATTCACCCCAAGCTAGTGTCTATACAAACGATACCGTTTCTGAATATTTCAACCTATCACGTGGCACTAGGCAAGGGTGCCCCTTGTCTCCACTTCTTTTTGCACTGGCAATAGAGCCTTTATCAATAGCCCTACGTTCACTCCATTGCTTCCAAGGGATCTCCCGCCTTGGCATTAATTTAAAACTGTCACTGTATGCAGACGACTTGCTTTTATATGTCTCTGACCCCACAACAAGTATTCCACATATCACTTCATTATTGAATGAATTTGGTTCATTTTCAGGATATAAAATAAATATTCTTAAAAGTGAATGTTACCCGGTAAATTCTTTAGCCCTTACTCTCCGGGAGACAGATATTCCATTGAAACTTAGCCCCTCAGGATTTAAATATTTAGGAATTAAGATTACTCGCACTTTGACCTCTTTGCAGAAAATTACTCCCCATTACTTAAGCAAATTAAACTAGACTTCAACGATGGAGCTCTCTGCCCCTTTCACTTATAGGACGTATTAATACAGTTAAAATGAATATTTTGCCACGGTTCCTTTTTCTCTTTCAATGTATTGCTATTTTTCTCCCTAAGATTTTTTTTAAAACTCTTGACGGACTTATTACTTAATTTCTTTGGGAGAGGAAACAACTTTTACAGAAATTTACATTTAGTGGAGGACTTGCGTTGCCTAATTTTTTATATTATTATTGGTCGGCCCACGTCCATAAATTGATATACTGGCTGCACTCAAGTGAACTGCTATGGTGTAGGCTGGAATCCCAGTCATGTACTCTGTCATCATTGGAGGCTCTTGTGTCTTCTCCACTTCCAATTAATCCCATTTAGGGCTGGGATAAACGATTATTTTTTAAACGATTAATCTAGCGATTATTTTTTCGATGCATCAATTAATCTAACGATTATTTTTTTCGCTTCGCTTCGATTTCGATTCGATTCGATTCTCGATTATCTCCCCATTAATTGACTAATATTGATGTATACGTGTTGATTTAAATATTTTAATGAAAAAAACATGAATTCCTTCACAAAAAAATATTTATTGCTTGCTCTTAAAATTCAAAAATAAGACATTCTTAGAGGTAGCATAAAACCTTAAAGCCTTGAAAACACAGCTTACTGAAAAAAGTGCATCTTATCATTCTTGAAACAAACATTTGATGCTTAGCATTCAATAAAAATATGAAAAAGTTCAGCCAAATACTTGTGTAGAGCAACTAAAAGAAAACAGTAACCAATGTAAACTTGAAGGCTTTAAGCTAAACAAAGAGTGCTTTTCCAGCAAAAACAGTGGGAGCCATCAGCCTGTCATGGCGTCCTTCCTGAACCAACAGAGTTTAACATTTAAGTTGAAGACACATAGGCCTATATTACTGAAGTCCATTAATTAAAGTGCATCTCTTAAATTCTTCATTCATATAAAAATAACAGTCAAAACTCTGCCACTCACCTTTTCTTTTAGAGTTACTGAAAGAATACAGTAGAAGTCATCTCAGAGGACTTAAAACAACATTGAAGTCACCAACACAGATCAGAGAATCAATCAACAGTTAAACACATTAAGGATATTGAACACATGTTGAAAAATGTCCATATACGGCGGGCATGACAGTGAATAATACATGTAGGGGCTATTACGGGCGCCAATATTCCGTTTGATACAAAGAAAGACAGACCAGTTGTAAGCTGTAGAGTGGCCACAGGACGCGTCATCAGCCTTACGTCAGCAGCCTACGTCAGCAGCCTACGTCAGCAGCCTACGTCAGCAGCCTACGTCAGCAGCCTACGTCAGCAGCCGCGGACTGCTATGAAAACATTAGCTTTGTGGTTTCACAGGCGCAGTTGACTGCTTAAACTAAACTTTGCACGAAACTTTGACTCTTAAAACCCACATGTGACAAAACGGAACCATCAACATCTCGCCTCAAATTGCATTAAAAGTGACATTCGTGTCTGAATTCGTTCGTATTTTAACTTTTAAAGAAATTCACGGTCCGCCATCTTGGTTTGCTTCGGCTGCCGTGAGACGCGCATGCGCAGGTTTGCATTACATCATAAACAGCTGAGGCTGTGCATCTCTTCAAGGCAGTGTATCTCAGCGTTACACCGGCTTGCACTTCTCTAACACGGCACTCGCATTGCTAGTGCTACCGCTCGCCGCCATCTTTGTTTTGTGTGTGACGCACCGACGCGCATATTATACGTCGGTGTATTTTTTGCGTCGACGTCACCGATTACGTCGACGCGTTGTCCCAGCCCTAATCCCATTTGTTTCACAAAAAACCCAATAGTACAGTCCACACTTAAAATATGGTCTCAATACAGAAACCATTTTAAGTTCGTGTCCGCATCCCAATTAATGCCCATTGTAAAAAATCCTCTATTTCAGCCTAGTCTTGCAGATGCTACCTACTTGAGATGGAGAAACTGTGGCATCAAAACAATTAGGGATCTTTTTAAAGAAGGTACCTTCTTAAGTTTCTCCGACTTGTCTTCTGAGAATGGACTTCCTGCCGCTCACTTATTTCGTTACTTTCAAATACGAAATTGTGTATCTTCCCT